GAGCGTGGATCCCGTGAAGACTCGCATGCTGCCCGTGATCGTCGGGCTCGCGAGGATGAGGCTCGCAGTGCTGATGAGCGTGGATCCCGTGAAGACTCGCGTGCTGCCCGTGATCGTCGGGCTCGCGAGAACGAGGCTCGCGGTGCTGATGAGCGTGGATCCCGTGAAGACTCGCATGCTGCCCGTGATCGTCGGGCTCGCGAGGATGTGTCTCACACGGGCTTTGATGATGGTGAAAGACTGAAGCGGCTGTCAAATCGTTTGGATTCGTTGGAACAGAAACTGAAGAAGGGTGGTGTTGCGGCATTCGCCTCTTCACAGCAGGCGAGTGCTGCTCATCAACGCTCAGCCAGTTCTCCAACGGAGGTTGTGGATGAGCGGGCACGGGATGACCTGGAGGAGCTTGAGCGGTTTGTCATGCGGCGCTTCAAGGAGATGGAGAAGGCCCTGTCAAAGTCCCGCGACGCCTCTCCGGCCGCTGCTGCAGGCTCTATGAAAGTTGGTGGTCATTCCGTCGGAAGACCCGAAGGATCACCTGCTAGGCATGCTGCGGCGTCACCGGAGGGCGGCGTCACTAACGCGAAGAAGGGTTCTGAGGCTGGTGGCGCCAAGCATGAAACTACTCATGCAAGTGTGGTGAAACAACGGGAGGAGCGGAGGGCGCCTGCGGGTGCTGGAGTGGTGGATCAGGTGGCCCGTGAGGATGCTGTTGCCGCGCTGGATCAGGTGGGCCAGCTCGAGAAGTTTGTGACGAGGAAGCTCAAAGAGTTGTCCTTGGCCATTGGTAAGGAGCTGGGACCCTTTCCGGTGCGTCTCTCCGGCGAAACCGAACATCCTACCGCGTTGGAACGAAAGCCTCAGGGGCTGATGGTGGATCAAATGGCGCGTGACGATGCTGCCCGGTCAATTGAGGCTGTTCATGAGCTTGAGGAGGAGTGGGGTAGGCGTTGGCACTCGTTGGAGGAGCGGTTGCGGATCATTGGTCGGGCGTCAATGGGTAAGGGATTGATACAGTCTACTGGTGCTGCATCTTCGATTGACAGAAAGGCCCGGGAAGACGCCTCAATGTCACTTATGCGAATACAACAACTGGAGCGGGAGATAATGGGATTTAGACGCCTTCTTCAGAAGCAGGATTCTACACCTTCCGACGGGTTTGTGGCTTCTGATACACGAGGAATTAGCAGTGGCGTGTTTCCCGTGCCGCCAAAGATCCAGCGTGAAACAACCCTTCCCCCTGCAGGAACAGCCCTCGAGGTTGCAGCGGCGAATGATGATGCAGAGTATCATACACGCATGCAGGATTTGGAGCAGGAGGTGGAGCAACGCATGAACGAAGTGAACCGGGCCCTTGCTACACTACGTACAACACGAACTGGGTTTTCACCTGGGAATGTCCCGGGGGAAGGGGATGGTGCTAGGGAGGAAACCCCGTTGGTCCCGGGCCAAGTTGTGTTCAACTCAAGAGATACTGATAATTATTATTCGCTAGAATCTCCTGGGCCCTTTACCGGGTCCCATGCATCAGAAAAAACCGTACTGGTTATGGCATCACATGATGTTGCAGACGTGGGGGGTCTCGTTGGAAGCGTAGCACCAATGCAGGGTGACGCGATTGTGTTGCGCTCTCCACAACTGGGAGGATTTGGAATCCCACTGGTGAAGCGTGAGCTGCTAGGTGGAGCATCAGCGGCTCCTCAAGCCATTTTGCGCGGTGACGAGTCGTCGGTGCGCCAAATAGGGACAACATATGATGATGAGACTGAATCATCGCGTGGTGGGTACGGCCCAGTTCCCCAACACGCTCTGCATGCTGAGGGGAACCTGCCTGTTGCTGAGGCCGCGAGTGGTGCCGCGGATGCAACCTCTACGAATCGCACTCTGTCTCCCCTCATCACTGCCCCCACTAAGCATAACGTGAACGGCGGCAGATGGGTGTCACCTAGGGACCGCACAGGAGAGCTCGATCAACTTCGATCCCATGGCACGCATCTGCGTAGCGTAGCAGTGAGTCCCCGGGGAAAGTTGGAGGAGAGCTTCTTGGAGGAACAAAGTGCAATGGGGCACACAACGCCATGCGTTGTGTACAACTGTGCTTGGTGCGCCGCACAGAAGCAGAAAGCGTCTGTGTGGACGGTGTGACCGGTGTTCTAGACATCGGGAAAAACACAAACTTTCAGATGTATCGTTGTATAGGGCAGAAGTGACTATTTCGCCATTAGAAACGTATGCTTATAGTTCCAATGCGGCAAACCTGCAATTAGATGATGAGAACAAAGCGAAGGGAAATAGAGCGAAATATATATATAAAAGAAGGAATGTGAAGCCAAAAGGCCTTGACTATGTGAGGGAGTATCAGTTTTTGTGCGTATGTACTGGGTCTCCCATTTCATGTGAATTATGCGTTGCGATGCTCCATTGCATGCCTTTTTTTTTGTTGCACTGTTTGAAGCTTTCTCCTCCTTCATGCTGTGAGTTGGGTTTACTGCTGGGTCTCGGTTGTTGGCGTCTCCACCCCACTGTTGTTTATCTCCGCCTTCTTTTTCTCCGCGCCTGCACCCGCGACAACCGCAGAGGGGTACACCACTACCAAGTTTAGCACCAAAGGAACAAGCACTGCGCCAACGGGGAGTAGCAGCGATGCCGGTGGTGGACGTAGATATTGTTACAATCCCCGACATGATCGAGGCGCAGTTGACGCTGAGCTACAGCCGCCTTACACACCTCGTGCGTCTCATCGTTGATCAAGGCAACGGTCACGATGTGGACATCGACAAGATGAGCAGCCGCATAGATGCGCTGACGAGGGAGAACGAGGAGCTGCGGGTCCTTGTGGGGACCCTCGTGGATAAGTCGCACGAGAGTTGGGTTCGAAAGGAGTTGGAGAACTTGCGTGAAGAGGTTGCGCACGTGTCGAACGCCTGCGCGGAGAGCTCCAAGAAGCTGGCTTCCGTAACGGAGGAGTTTCAGTGGTGCTTCGACGAGATGGAGAAACGGCTCAAGGTGGAGGCCGCCACGCGCACAAGTGATATGGATCAGATCCACTTGTCCGTCAGTGAAGTGCGGGACGTCGTGCGGGACATGGGAGACACGCTGAAGCATCTTCGAAACTTTGTAGATGTATGGGAGAGTAAACCCGAGACGACGGAGTCACTAACAACGCGTGACGCAGCAGGTGCCCTCCAACACCCCACCGAGGAGCGCGTAGGGTATTTGAGTTCCCTGCCTGTCTTCACCAAAGTGTTTGATGAGATGGATGTGCTTCGTCAAATGCTTCAACAGCAGGCTGCTGATAGCCTCTCGGCAAAGAATGTTGCAGGGGCAATTCGGCGCCTTAGTGCTGCTGAGATTGCCGCCTCAGGTGGATCTGACTCAAATAAAGTTGACCGCGACACCATCAACGGCTTGCGGGAGTCCCTTGGGTCTGTGCTGCAACGTCTAAATAAACTTGAGAGCAGACCACCGCCCGCGTTTGGGCAGGCACAACTGCAGCAGCAACAACCACCTGCAACCCCGTCAGTGGAACTGGAAGATATTATTAAATTTGAGAAGCGGTTGCAACATGTGGAGAATGGTTTACGCAGCCTTTCCTTCCAGTTATCTGATGGAGGAGGTCTGGATAAGGCCCATCTAACGGGCTCTGATGGGCGTTTGCGATCCCCAGAGAGTGGGGGTGAGACCCTCTCATTACAACGGCTGCCGCGGAGGGAGGGGGAAATTCCTATGCCTGATACATCCGGGCAGCAGTTCTTTAGGCCTCAGTCACAGTCACAGTCACAGTCACAGCGCCCGGCATCGGCTTCTCTCGGGCGACGTGCACCAGCGCCTGGAGGAAGAGAAGGAAATCCTGATCTCACAGGGGATGGCTTGGCACTGCCGTACCTTACCACACTTCCGTCGAATGGGAGGAATGAGCCGTCGTATCCGCAAGCGCCGCAGAAGGCTCGAGCTGGAGCGCCCAGCAGTGGGGAATTTACTGTGCAGCCGTTGGAGTTAGCTGCGGGCGACGCTCTTGCTGTGACTCCGTTCCAAGTATCGACGCAAGCACAGGCAATGGGCTATGATGATGAAATCCAGCGTCGTATTGCGCGGCTGGAGGAGGGTTCAACTGCGCTGGAGAGGAAAAAGGCCGACCGCCAGGAGTTGGCGCAGCTTGGGGACGTCTTGCAGCAGCTCCTTGAAAATCCGGCACTGCTGCAAGTATACCCCCACTTACAAGCCTTAATACCTCGTCGTCCAATGTCGCAGCAAGAATCTCGTGGAACACACTTTATGGAGTCCGCGTACTGCGCCAATTCGGCGACGGTGCCCGGGAGCGCCATGCCTGGACGTCCCGTGTTCATTGGGGGAAAGGCGCACACCTTACGCGACAACACAGGTGCCATGACGTCGGCCACCCTATCTACTTCGCATCTCGTGTAAAACATTGGGAGTATGAGGAAGGCATGTATTTTAGCATTTAGTCCGTGCCAAAAAGAAACCACCACCGGCTCCCTTTCTTGCTACAACGAAGAAGAAAACAAATACGAACAAAACACGAGAAAGCGTACAGGAAGCATAAGGTGGGGGTGGGGGTGGGGCTGGGGCTGGGGCTGGTAAAGCAGCAAACAACCAAAATTCAAATACAATTTGACGTAATTGGAACCGAAGTAAACTAGTCTGCGCTTTTCATGCGGAACTTGGACAAGAAAAATGGGGATATGAAAAGGCGATATTGACGGTTCCTTGTGTATTTCTGCTGCAATATTTATGTACACCACGCGCGAGACTTTTTCAACGAGAGGATGTAGGGATGTAAGGTAATATTTTGAACAGTTGCCTCGCTCTTGTCATATGGGCGTTTTGGAGGCTCTATGTATTGCTATTATTATCCATGATTGTGTGTTTTTATATGTCTGCTTGAACGATGATAGTTGGAGAGGTAGTCTGCTTCCGCCAATGCTGGATTTCTCCCGCACCTCTTCCACGTTTTCTTGTATCCTGTTTTACTTTTTTACGTATAAAAGAACCGTTTTCCCGTTGTGCCCCCCGCCCCCCTCCCCCCTCCCCCTCCCAATTCTTTCTCTTTCTCTTCCCCCACGCTTCTTCACGGGCGCGGGAGCAGGCATTGATGACAGAGGCAAAAGGACACTGGGGTAGTAGGAAATTTGTTTCTGGTGCATGATAGCGTCTCCTGTGTACATTGCAAGGTGTCGACGATGCGGCAAGTCTCGCTGCACATACAACGACCCGCGACTTGGGCGCAGTGTGATTGAGTGCAAGGCGGCCTGCTTTGAATCCCACTATGACTGGGACTTTGTTGAGGAGTGCAAGGCTGAGCAGGCGGGGGACTTCGCCATCAGTCTCTCTGCTTCACCTGTAGTCAATTTGGCACGTGAGGACGTTCAATCGTCCAAAAAGCACCGACGAAGGGCCAGTCATTGTGTCGTGATGTGAAAGGCCACGCCAGAGTTCCAGGCGTGTACGTGTGTGCATGTACATGAAGGCTTCTGTTAGCCATGACCTCGTTTCCTGCCGCCGATCACAGCCACACTTTTTTTCCCGTGTGGATTCCAATGTTTTCACTCACTTGGGTGAAATTTCTCCTTTCCACTCCCATTTTGTCTGCCCGTACACCCGCACCCACACCCACGCATACACACTGTGGGAAAAGAATGTGAGTCAAAAGAGGATTTATTTATTTTTACTGCCTAAGAATTGATTACCCAAGGAGATTAGATAAAAGAGCAATCAAACAAAATGAAGACAATGCGTGCCGTAACATTGAGGGCCTTTGGTGGTACCGACATGCTGCAGGTTTCAGAGGTCACTGAGGTCTCCGTGTCACGTCCGAGAGATGTGCTTATCAGGGTGATGGCGTCTGGCGTTAACCGGGCCGACGTGGTGCAGCGCCAGGGCCACTACCCACCTCCAAAGGGAAGTAGTGAGATCATGGGCCTGGAGGTTGCTGGTCTGGTGGAAAAGGTGGGCGAGCAAGTGAAGCGGTTCAAGGAGGGTGATCGCGTGATGGCACTACTCACCGGGGGAGGTTACGCGCAGATGGCGGTTGCTCAAGAGGGCTGCGTCATGAAAATTCCAGATGGATACACTTTCGTTGAGGCCGCAGCAATTCCAGAGGCATTTCTCACCGCCTGGCAGGCACTTAAGCTTCACGGGAACCTGCAGAAGGGGCAGAATGTGTTGGTGCACGCCGCGGCCGGCGGCGTTGGAACGGCGGTGATGCAGCTGACACAAAAATACTTTGAGGCCACCGCCATCGCCACCTGTTCAACCGCAAAGGTTAACTTCTGCAAGGAGTTTGCCAAGTATGTGGTTGACAGATCACCCGATGAGGCAGGAAAATGCTTTGCGCCTAAGGTGCTGGACGTGGTGGGAAAAAATGCCATCGACTTGGTCATTGATCCCGTCGTGGGTGGTACGTACCTCGCGGAAGATGGCGAGGTGCTGGCGAAGGACGGAAAGGTTATCCTGCTAGCTTTCATGGGTGGATCAAACATCACTGTTAACATTGTTCCATTCTTCGCTAAACGTGCCCAACTTGTTTTTTCGAAGCTCCGGGACCAGTCAGAGGAGTTTAAGGAGGCCCTTGTGCAAAGCTTTGAGGCTGAGGTGCTTCCATACATGGCGAGGCGGGAAATCGTGTCCTTGGTGCAGGGCACATACAACCTCGAGGACGCATCCAAAGCACACGCCTTTATTGAGCAGGATGGCACCTGCGGCAAAATTGTTCTGATACCTAGGCAGTAGAAAGAGTGGGTGGGCTTGGACAGTGATGCTTTATAATGTCATTTTGTTTTTGTTTTAGCCGCACTGTAAGCTCAACCAGGGACATTTACTTGTAGTGGAGGCGATTTTTCTGTGTACGTTTTTTTTTGTATTTTTTTTTTGTTTTACTTAATTTGTATTTTTATCTTTGGGAGTGCGTTGCAATTTGATCCCCCGGCCGGGATAAAATGTGAGGACGACGTGCGCCGATATGTATATCTGCGCCTATGCATGCATCTGCGTACTTATTTAACTGCCTGCTTCTGTGACTTTGCCTCCCCACGCTACTGCCACTTGTAAACACACAAGTTGAAACAGCCAGTTGAGTGACGTCACAGGCCTCGCTCATACACACGGGGCCTGTAATGCTCGCTTTCACGCCCCACTTTTTTCGTGGCGCTACACCACATAAACTGCGATTGCACCTGCGGCGTCTCAGGGCCGTCAGTAAAGCGGCGCAGCAGGAGCTTTACAGGCGCCGTCGTCGGCTCCGCAGCGCTCAGCAGGAATGCTCAGGCTCCTCTACGGCGTCCTCCTCGCCATCGGCGTGCTCTGGCATGCGTGCGGAATGGCTTCCGAAGAATGATGCCTTGGAAAGCGCGATTGCGTTGGCAATAAGTGAGAACCGAGACGCAAGGACTGAGTTGGAGTTCACACGGCATTTTTTGACAGGCTCGTACCTTTCCTTAGCGTCTCCTGTAGACAACTGGGACCCCTACGACACGAAGCCGCAGGTATTTGCCTTTGACAAGTACGTTGCCCTCCCGGTGTTCACATCCCTGGCGTATTTGCGTCTTTTCTGTCGCCAGTTTCGGTTCACGGTGCGTGACCCCAGCGGGGTTTTGTGGGCCGATGGTGCGGCGGAGGCGGAGAGGACTGGTATGATGGATGACACAGTGCCGTTGCCGGATGTGTCCAAGAGCGAGTGGTGGGAGAGACACGTGCAACAGCGCCTTCGTGCCACGGCGCTTGAGCCGATGCGGCCGCCTGCCGATGAGCAGGAAATACGTGCGGTGGAGAGCACTGGTGGTGCGGCGGACACCTTCTGGCCGCAGGCGGTTGATCTCTTTGGCTGCATGGACGCCGCCCCGACGGAGGCCACGGGCACAAGTCAGCAGAAGGAGCAAGCACCCAAGCGCAAACAACGCGCAACTCGCGTTAGGCGTCGTCGGGAGAAGATTTTTAGAAGTAGCGGACACATCGGTAACAGGCGAGCCTGGGAGGGAGGAGGAAAAACGTCGCAGGAAGGAGACGCGGGGTTGGGTTATGACGCTATTAAGGCGGCATTTTGGGACAAAGTACGCTCGACAGCCCCGTTCCGGATCAAGCAGGTGACGCCTCTGCCTGTGTTTGGTCCGCTTTTGCGTCCTTTTTTTGTTGGCTACTTTGCCGATGTTGATACCCTACTGCACAACGCCTCCATCGTGCCTGCAAATGTGGATATTGTGCTTAACCCCACATCTCCCATTGAGTTTGTCCTCGCCCGCGAGGCGACGGATTGTGTGCTTCACGGGGATAAGCTGCTTCATTTGGCCTACAGGCGGGTGGAGAAGGAGCTTCGCGGAGAATTTCATCGTTACTTCCGTCACTTCTCTCCTGAGGTGGTGTGGGCGCGAAGCGCCTGTGTTCCCTCCCCTGTGCCCGGAAAACTCGACGGTGTCATGTACACATTAGTTATTCTGCTGCAAAGCGATGACTTTCCACAGACGTACGCGGCTCTGCGTGCGGCAAAGCGTCACTGTCTTCTAATGGGACATTCAGACCTGGACGTGTTACCCTGGGATGCGGCTGCGCCGCATGTGCGGGAGGCGTCTTCGTTGTTTTACGAAAGGGATGCGGCAACTGGTGATACTTGTTGTGGGGTTCAGGGTGGTCTTGGCGTTTTTGAGCAAAAAGGTCCTGTACAGACGATCAGCGTGGCACAGCCAGCAGATAGTTTTTATCATGATCCTACCGCTGCCTACACGGAGAGCCACGCCGTGTTTACTGAGGAGCTGAAGCTGAGGCGACGTGTACAGTAGGGCGTCAAGTGGGCATCCCTGTCTGTGTTTCCTTAGAAGCTCTTTTTGGTGTCATTCTTCTTCCCGCAGCCTTTTCACATTCACACACTTTACTCCCTGTCACAGGAACGGCAGTGACGCGTCAGTGTTCTTGGCTTTTATGCGCGTATTACATGCATTGGATTTTTGTTTGTTACAACATTTACTTATTTTTATTTTTCAGGTAGTGTGCGCGAAAGGAGTATCATATCATCTAGTCGTGGCGTCGGGAGGAGACGCGATGGCTGCTGAAGGGGAACAGCGGGCGAGTTCCCCACGTCTGGGGGAGGCTGAAATGACAAGACTTGTGCAGCGGCTGTACTACCAGCAGATGGAGCTTGCTGCGCGGCGGGAGGAGGAGCGCCGCCGTCAACTCTCCAAGTCGTGTATCCCACCGCGTCGCATCAACAAGGACGCGGAGGGGGATCTAGTCCGCCGCATCTACGACCAACAGCTGGAGCGATTTCGGCAAGGCAGGGAGGAGCGGGAGCGAAAGGCGTACGAAGAGATGCACCGCTGCGACAAGAAGGTGCTGGAGTCTGATATACAAGAGCAGGTGGAACGCATCTACGCACAGGAGATTGCCAAGAGCAAGGCCCGCCGTGAGGAGCTGCAGAAGCGGTACCTACCCGAGATGGAGCCGAAGAAAATCAGCAAGACTAAACTCAAGCAGAGTGTGGAGCGTCTATCACACGTGGACTACGCCAAACGAGACGAGGAGCTGTTCAAGAAGCACGTGTACCCGTACGACCCACAAACCGTAAAGATTTCTCACGAGGAAGTGGAGGCGATGGCCAACCGCCTCTCAACGAGGGGTAGCGCGTAGCGGGGGCGGCACGAAACACTCCCCCCCACCCCACCCCACGCACACACACACACACACACGTGAGAAGGAAAAAGAAACAAAAAAAAAGAACACAAGGTACGGAGTTCGCGCTTGCGTGCAGACAACAACAAGCAACCAACAGGCAGCCACAGGCAAACCAAGCGCTCTAGAGCCCGGATGTTGATAGGTGTTTAATGTAGATATTTTTATTCACTCCTTTTTCTCACGGGGAGCGAGCAATGGGGAAAGAGGGAGGGAACTGGCTTCAGCGCGCGTTTTCCACCGCGTGTTGGGAGTTTTGAAAAACGCAGAATACGGTGGGTGGGTTGGAAGGTTGTCACATGAACGTCTGTGGGCCATTCCGAGTGCTCCCATCAGGTGAGAAGGGGAAGCAAAGGAGGGAGTTGCCCTGCTGCAGCGGTGCTATACTCTTCTTTTTGGCTTCCACGGCGAGGAAAGAAGAAAAAAAAAAGACGGGAATTCCGTGGAAACCCGTAGTTCCGTTGGCAGCACCAGTCGGAAACAAAACAAATTCTTTTTCTCTCTTTTCCCATTTCCTGCTGCCACTGCTGGCTTTCAGTCTCCTTTCACCTCTTTTTTTTTTCGAAAGGCTCCCATCGTGACGTCCTTTTTTTTGTTTTATTTTTTGTGTCTTTGAACTTTTCTGTGGCGTTCGCTTCTCACTGCCGTCTGTTCTGGTGGATCAGGTTTTCAAGCGCAGGAGGCATAGAGCTTGGACGCACACTGGCCTCTCAAGCATTGGCAGCCGTAGTAAGTGACTAGAGAGAGAGAGAGAGAGGGATAGAGAGGGAGAGAAGCGTACGCATTTGGCGAAGGAAAGGGCAACCCGGCATGCAGCTCACGCAGTCAAGGATGGGCCTGCCACTGGCCGGCAGTTTGCCGACCCCGTCGTCCACGCGACGTGCCAGTGAACTTTCCACAGCAGACGAGGCGATGGAGGTGGCGGGAATTGACGCGGACCGTGTGTCCTTCATGAACACCGCGCTTTGCACCGTCCAAGGCGGCACCCTCCGCACTTTTTTTGCCCCAGTCATGAGGGTCAAGTCGTCCCTGCTAAAACGGAAGCGTCTCACTCAAAGATATATCGCGTCCGGCCCAGCGAAGGCAGACAAGATGTTTCAGGAGGCCATGAGGGTTCTCACAAAGGCGATTGTGGATGCGTCGCTTGACCTCTTTGAAACGGCAATGCCGCTCGACGAAAAAGAGCTTGCGGCCGCGTTGAAGGGAAAACTGACGCCGGTTTGCTACGAACCAGGAGCGGTGCTTGTGTACCCCGGTGAATGCCCGGAGGGATTGTTTGTGCACGTAGTACTGAGTGGGAGTGTTCAGGTGGTGTGCTATCAGACGCAGAGCCGCAAAGGTCCCATCGGTGACAGCAGCAAGAGACAGTACTTTTCTGGCAATGATTTGCTGCGGCTAAATGGATCATTGGGCTTTCACCCGGAGCTCTTTCGGCTTCTCTCTGCTCCTGTGGAATCTCACAACGAAGCAGCCAGTGATGCCGCCTCCACCTCCAATATGTCTGCATCTATTCAGCGTACGCTTCAGCGTGCTTCGCGAATTATCGGGCAGCCAACACTTTTGGCTACACGCACGGAATTGTTTAGAGCCCCCTATGTATGCTGTGCCGCTGAAGCGTTGGGATTAGAGCCTTTCCGACTTGCCACGGCCACAGCAGAGGCGGCAGCACCGACAGGGAAGGGGACGACAGTCCATGATTCAAGGGTGACTGTGACGATGCGTGTTCGCGCCATCGATCTTCATAATGCGCTTATGGAACTTGCATTGCGTCATAGCGAGATACCCAAACAACCTCCTTCTCTAGTTGCCTCAGGTCTTCAGTTGACCACGCCTTTGGAATACATTGAGGCGGCACGGGTACGGGCTATCACGCGTCATTATCCAATGAATGAAATTCTCATGCGTCAGAGTTGGTTGTTGCAGGATACTCCGGCCCATACGATACGCGTCCTTGTCACGCAGTTGGCACCTCGTTGCTACGCCCCAGGGGAGGTTATTCTCTGCCCCCACACAATTTCTCGCCAGCTTTGTTTTCTGCGTCGGGGAACGTTGACGATTGAGGAGTCCCCGTCAACAGGTTCTCGTGGTGCGGGAGCTTGCGGCTGTGGGGGTCCCCCCTTTTCAAGGGGGGAGATCTTGCAAGAAGTGCCCATGGGTGCCTCTTTTGGTGAATTGTCTGTGCTGTTTGGGGAACCGAGACAGTTTATCCTTAGGGCACAGACGACTTGCGACGTTTGGTGTCTGTCTTGCCAAAGTTTTACGTCCACCGTGAGACGTGACGACGCCCTGCGGCGAAATTTGCTTTCCAAGGCGGCTGCCCTGCGGATGCGGTGGTTGGGGGAGCAGCGGTACACCGCATCGCTGGCACAGGTGCTGCGTGAAAGTTGTGAACTTTTTCGCGAAGCACCCGATAGTTTTATTCGTCTCGTACAGG